ACATAATCGATAATGCTTATTTAGTTGATCAGGTGTTTTATCTTCTAAATCTGCTCTCCTGCAATTTTCAACCCACTTCTGGCATCTGTAAATAAAATCAAAATATAATTATGAAATATAAACTCAAAGTTTAAATTTTAGCATTTGAGCTGGGCACAGTGGCACACACCTATCATCTCAGTACTTGGGAGGTCAAGGCAGGACTCTGAGTTTGAGACCAGCCTAAGCTACATACAAAAACTCCTCTCAAAACATAATTAATCTGAGCCAGGCATGGTATACACATCTTTAATCCCAGCACTTGGGAAGCAGAGAAAAGCAGGTCTTAATCCGTTTCAAGTCCACAAGGCCACATAGTTGAGACCTCAAAAAAAAAAAAAAAAAAAAAAAAAAAAAAAATCAAAAAATTGATTTAGTTTTAAGGCAAGAATGGATTCCTGATATACTCATCTAGAATACAATTAGAAGTTTATTAATATAAAATCAAAGTTGTAAGAAACTTTTGAAATCATTTAGAATAAACCCATCAATTACAAAGTTGGGAAGTAACTTGCTCATTCAAGACATGTATGAATCAGTGAGAATTCAAGCAGCAGCACAGACAGACAGAATGCCAACATAAAACTCAACCCACACGGCCAACAGCACACTTCCTTCACCTGAGCAAATCAAACACCCCAGCACTGCAAAGATGTAGCAAGTACATGTTCTACAAAAAACTACAGTACCTCATATAAGGATGAAGAAGTATTTGCCTTATTACAAACATGACATAGTACACACATGTTCTATGCGCAAATGCAAAAGCAAGCTCCAAGAACAAAGATACGGCATCTGCATGGTCTAGTTCATGGAAAGTATTGAAGATGCTAACCAAGGTAAACACATATTTAGTGCTTAAGATTTCAGAAAAACAAATGTTTACTAAGCACTTATTAAGGGGTAGATATTGCTCCAATTCTTTCCAAAGGTGAATGTAGTGAAGAAATTAAGGATTAAAATGTTTAAGTAATTTCTTGATGGGTTTACAACTAGATCTTTCCCTCATTCCAAGTTAATAAAAACAAAAGTTCTGCCATGGAAAAAGTGTCACAAATATGAAAGCAAATTCATATCCTATTTGTATATTATGCTGTATTATAATATGGATTTAAAATTATTATGTTACAAGTATATATTAATATGCATACTTCCTCTTAAAAGGATACATATATCCTCTTAAGTCTTTTTGTTTGTTTTTTTGATACAGAGTCTCATTATGTATCCTTAGTTGGCCTGGAACTGTATATATAGATCAGGCTGGCCTATTCCAACTGCTTCTGCCTCTAGGAGTGCTGGGATTAAAGGCCAGCACCACCACATCAGGTTCCTCTTAGGTCATACTATTTTAACCCTGAAATACACCCTAACACTTATTTCCACTCTTAAGTGAAACCACAGTGACTGTTATGGTCTTCATACCCAAACTAAAACTGTAATTGTACATCATTTCATTTAGCTAGGAAATATTATAACACTCAGTAACCATGCCTAAGAAACCCATATGTTAATATTTTACACAGTTGTAAATTATGATCATAAACATCGTTTCAAAAGGCAAATATTAGGCACAAAAATGTCTTACTATAAAAGTTTGCTGGACTACTCAGTTATATTTTTAATTAATTTCTGGAGTGTTATCCACACTATCTCTGATTTAAGGTAAAACAGTTTTTGATATTAACAGCAATTCAAGAACAGAGTATGAGATGGAAAAGTCTAACAAATTAGCCCTATTTATTTCCATATCAAACATCTAGGGTAAATATTATGAAAGATGAATAGGTCTCTCTTAATGACAAATGGAAGTATACAAGTTCATAAAATATCTAATTCTAAACAAACCATCCCCTCATATTGATTTACTGATTCAATTCAGTCCAAAACAAAACCAAAAATAGTTAAAAAACAACAACAAACTCAAAGTAGCTTGGAATAAGCAGAGAAGATGGATATTTTTCTTTAAACAAACAATGCTGAGTAGGATATCCATATGAAGAAATTAAATCTTGACCAGTAATTTTACAACATAAACAAGTTCCAAGTAATTTAATATAAATATTAAAGATAAAACAAACTGAGCATAGCAGTACATAACCAGTACTCAGGAGACTGAGTTTAAGGGCTGCCTGGGTTATATAGAGAATTCTAGACTGGAATGAGACCTTGTTTCAAATAAACAAATAAAATAAATATATTTGGAGTAGGCAAAGATCTCTTTTAAAAGGCCACTGACCACATGTCCAAGGTTAATTAAAAATATATAAACATATTTATTAAAAGATTTAAAACAAAAAAATCTATAACATGGTGGCACATGACTTTGATCCCAGCATTCAGGAGGCAGAAGCAGGCAGATCTCTGAGTTTGAGGCTAGCCTTGGGTCTACAGAGCAAGTTCTGGGACAGTCAGGGCTATACAGAGAAACCCTATCTTGAAAAAGTAAAAAATAACAATAAAAACAAAACTCAAAAACAACAACAAAAAAGTATTGACATCAATGTAAAGAAAGAGAAGGCAGCCATTTGAAATTCATTCCTGTGTATAGTATAATGATATCTATTATTCCCCCCAGTATTGGGGACAGAACCTAGGACTTTAGCACTTAACTCCATCCCCTGGCTGAAGACACCCTTTTTTGTTGTTGTTGTTTTGAGACAGGGTTTCTCTGTGTAACAATCCTGGCTGTCCTGAACTCACTGTGTAGACCAGCCTGGCCTTGAACTCACAGAGATGCACCTACCTCTGCCTCCCAAGTGCTGGGATTAAAGAAGTGTGCCACCACTGCCTGGTAGATTGAAAATACCTTTTGAATGCCCACCAAGTCTGTCAAAAGCAAGTTGTCAGATGTCACATTAAAAACCATATTTTTATTATCTCCCCAATAAAATGTATTTCCCAATCTTTCTTGCATTAGTAACTTTTATGTTAAAAATCTCAGAAGTCTAGGAAAGATGGCTCAGTGGGTAAAAGCATTTACTGTGCAAGCATGAGGATCTGAGTTCAGACCGCTGCACCCACATAAAAAGCTGTGCCTGAAACTCCAATGCTATGGAGAGTAGAGACAAGACGACTGACAGGGATTGCAGACCACTAGCCTGGCTACAGATTCAATCAGAGACCCTGTCTCAAAGAAGTAAGAAGTACTAGAGAAGGACACCTGATGTTCTCTGGCCTCCACATGCACAGACACACATACATCATCTCTGGAGTTACCCTTGACTCTGTTTTCTCCTATAATCCACATTCAAACCTTATCTAAAATACACCAATGTACCTCTTGCTCCTCTTCTACTGACCTGGATTACTGCAATAGTCTTTCATGGGTCTCCCTGCTTTCACTTTTGTTCCCTACAATTAACAAGCAGCCAGTAATCCTGTTAAGAACTCTCTCATATCTAAGTTCTCCCACTTCACCTGGAATAAATGCCACAGGGCTTTCCATTGCCAATAATTTTCTAAACACTGTGTGTCTCCTGTATACACCTCACCAGCAAGTATACCTGATTTCACCCTTCTTGCTTCCAAATTGTCTTAAGATATTTCATAGCTGTCCCCTGCCCTAATTTAACTGCTCAGATTCACTGAGGTGAGATTTTTGTTCCCTCTGTTTAAAACAAAAATTATGCCTCTCATTACATTTTTTTTTTTTTTTTATGGGTAAGACAAGATCTCACAACCATAGCCATAAATGGCCTGGAACTTTAACTCAGACTGGCTTCAAAACTCAAGCCAATTCCCCCTGCCTCCTCAGAGTGGGGTTATAGAACATGTCACTATGTTCAGCTCCCTGGCCACTTTCTTTAAAAAAAAAAAAAAAAATCTATTTATTTATATGCACGAGTGCTTTACACTTTGAGCCTGGTACACACAAAGGCCAGAAAAGGTTGTGCATGAGATCCCCTGGAAATGGAGTTAACAGGTAGTTAAAGTCACCTGATGTGGGTTCAGAACCTAGGTCTTCTGCCAAGTGCTGTGTTCAACGCTGCGCCATCTTTCCAGCTGCTCCCTGGCTACTTTTAAACCCTTCCAACCTCTGCTGCACTTTTCTTTAGGGTATTTTTTCATTATTTGGCACACTATTGTAAATACTGTACTTGTCCATTTTGCACCATTTGAACGTAGCCTCTCAGAGGAGCAGGGGCTTTTAACACTGGTTCATCTGTTAGCCAACAACCCCCCCCCCCCGTGCTCAGACCAATTGTGGGCTTTCAATTAACATTTGTTCAACTAATAAATAGCTCGCTATATGACAACGCCTGTTGACAGATCTGCTCCCTCCATGGATTAGGCGCTTTCTGCGGTCTGTGACATCATTCAAGAGTTCCCAGCACCTGACTTGAGTACACCAAACATGCTTACGCACTGACTTTTAAATGAATGAGCCAAGAGAGCCACGTGAAACGCCTGCAGCCTAACACATTAAGTCCCTGTGCCTCTCAAAGTATGACCCAGAGTGTGGGCTACCCCAAGGAAGAGTGAAGTTTCAATACCTATTCCCATGCCCTCACTCGCATCCTGTGTCCCCTACAATAACCAAGGGAGACAATGAGTAACGGTCTGCATTTGAACACTGCGATGACAAGTCCGAAGGAGGCAGCAGTTGTGACCTGATTAAAGATCAAAGAAAGCAGCTGGACTCCAAACAGAAACACTGTCCTAGAAGAGACGGGTGACATGGGGGAAGGCAGGGCCGCCGGGAACACGACCCTGGAGCCCTAACCTTTCTTTGACAGCTAAGGAAACGAGTCAGACGACCGAAGGCGCTAAGCTCCCACTTCATCCGCTTTCGCGCGTCCGGGTGGCACCCTCTCGGCCAGGTCCCCGAGAGCGCACGTGCACCGAGGTCCCCGCCGCCTCCGCGCCCCGCTCACCTGGCCGGGTCCCGAGGGAACCTGAAGAAGGCCAGGTCGGACTGCGTGCTCTTCCGTGTGCAGTTGGGGGCAGCGCAGAAGTTCGGCATGGTCGCCCGGCCACCGGCCGGTCCAGCCCTCCCCTCCCCGCCTCGTCAGGGCAGCACGGCCGCCCCGCGGGGCCGGGGAGGGGAGCTGGGCCGGCCGGCCGGCTCCGCAAGGCCGCGCGCGGAGGAGGGGCTGGTTCGCGAAGCCGCGAGGGGCAGGAGGGGCGCGCGGGCCGAGGCCGGGCTGGGGCCGCGGCTCCACAGTGCTGTGAGCGGCCGGGAGGATTTACCGCCACCGCCACCGCTGCTGCACCTCCAGCCCGCCCGGGACGCTGCCGCCTCCTTCCCACAATGCACCCTGGCGCTCGAGGGTGCCCTCTCTTCTCTCAGCCTTCCTCCCCGCCCTCCTCGCCCAGCGACCTTTCCCGCGGGCGGGCATGCGCATCCGAGCGCGTCTGACCGGGTGTGGCGGAGACCTGGGCGGCTGCCTCAGTGCGCGTGCGCACAACCCAACCCGCGCGAAGGAGGAATTGCGCATGCGGCCTTGCCTCCTGGGACTCCAGAGCAGAACCCGGGGCTTCTGCGGTAGGTTTGACGTGTGTGGGTTTCTGCAGGTCTGGGACGATTTGGAATGTTTCACCACTGCCACGCCACCTCTCCTTGATTAGGTGGCTACTGTTTATGCGTCCATTGTATGAGTCGCCACGGACTTTACCTTGGTGACTGCTTTGCAAACTTCACACACGCGTTGGACGCAAACATAGATTGTAGAGGATTTTTTTTTTTTTTCCCACCAGCTTTGCCTCGCGGTTATTCTGTGCCCCGGTTAGTGCGAGATTGCCAGCCATACACCTCGACTAGACGCTAAAGGCGAAAACTCAGGAAAGTGATAACCTCCCTGGTGGATTCCAGAAGGGCAGAAATAGGGAAATGATTAGGGCAGCATCACCCAAGAGATTAATACCTCGGGCTTCTCACAGTCGTGGCCTGATAATGTTCCTGTATGACTTAATGCCAAAATCAGTGATCGCTATTTAGAACAAAGGATTAGTATAAAGTTTTGAATAAAGTTAAAGAAGCCTGCAAGTGAGACCCACTATCTTTTGAAAGAAGTCTACGGTGATGAAGTGGTGTCGAGGGCTCAAGTTTTTACTGGCGCAAAAAGTTTATAAAGTAGGGCAGGAAGATGTCCGAGGTGATGCACGAAGTGTTCGTCCAATTACCAAGGGCTGATGAAAATATCCAGGTCAAGGACATGATTTGTTCAAACAGGCAGTCAGCGATGAGAATGATGGCTGAAGAATTAAATTTAGATAAAGAAACTGTTAGACTCATTCTAAAAGAAAACCTGAACATGAGAAAAATGCCTGCCAAAGTTATAGTGAGTAATTTGAAGGATAAGCCTAAACTTGAGGTTCCCATCTGAGCATTCAAAGGAAATTAGGAAAGTTAGCTTATATGTGAGGGAAAAGATAACAGGCTCTGAAACGTGGGGTCCTTCGTAGTTTTAAGCTGGTGGGGACAAGGCTCTGCCTGTGTCGAATCCCAGAATCCACCCCATTGCCAGCCAGCTCTGCCGGGGCAATCCTCAGCAAACATCCCCACTAGGGTTGCTCAGGATTGGTTCATATCCTGGTGAAATGAGCCTGAGGTAGCTAGAACCTGACCAGGAAGCAGTCCTCATCTGCTCTTTGTCTGTTTTCTTTCTTATGATCTTCCTTCACACTTGGCAGGGTCCACCTACAATACTGACCTCTGGGTTCCTCTTCCTTGCTGTTCCCCACCCTCTCCGAGGGCTTGTTGTAACCTGTTCTTGATTTCTTTGGCTTTATCAAGTTTGGCTCTCTTCAGTGCTTGTACCTCAGCTTGTGGCTGGCTGTCTTGCACATGATGCTGTCCCAGGGGATAGCCTGTGAGAAGCTGGAGTAGGAGTCTGTTTCTGTGCCCAGGGAGACATACTCTTCTGAGGAGACCCCAGAAGTTCTACAGTTTCAGCCTGCTTCACAGTCAGGACCTGAGAGGTATGACACTGAAGGCAGTGTTTACCGAGTGGTGTGATCTAGCCCAAATGACTCTGGGTTGGCCTCCCCTCTCCCGACTGGAGAGCTAGGTATGTTTCATTCTCCTGTGCTTTGGACCACCAAAGTCCGGAGTCAGGAAAAGTCCTGTGTGCCCCAGGGGAACAGCAGGAAAAAAAAAAAAGAGTAAGTGGGTGAGATATTTCTTTTTAAAGGGGTCCTTTGCACCTGCATGCTGACCAGGGTACTGCTTGAGTGCATTTTACCAGGTGACAGGGACAGGCCAGTATAATGCCTAAATCCTTACAGTGGGATGAAGAGTAATGGTGTTGCAGATGAGTAATTTGAAACACTAGGCTTCCTCTCTTCTACCCTTAATTTTATACTTGTAGTTTATAAATTGCTACCCCTATGTCTGTGGGTAGGTTTATAATAACTCACTTGTTTGTGTAGCTAATTGAACTCTCCAAAAGCAGGGTCTACAAATTTAAACCATCTTTTTGTACCTTCCCACCAGAGTTCCTAGAATGAAACTTGTCTCAAGTGGTTGCAAGTACTCCTTGTAGACTGAAAGCATCTCAGATTGCCTAAAAGGGAGCAGAGGAAAGGGAGGCGACAGCATCTCACAACATTGGCGAGTGTCTACCTTACCTAAGGGTTCTGACACTTAGTGACTCCACTTACTAAGAAGTGAATAATACTGCTTAATAGTTGTGCCCAACACTGTTCAACGACAGCCCACACCTTTAATTCCAAGCAGAAACAGGTGGGGTCTTCAGTTTTGAAGTTTCTTGAAATCTAGATCTTGTCTCTTAAAAGTAGAGTCAGCTGATAAGAGTTTTTCCAGAGGACCTGGGTTCAATTCCCAGCACCCACATGGCAGCTCACAACTGTCTGTAACTTCAGTTCCAAAGGATCCAACACTCTCACACAGAAACATGCAGGTAAAACATCAATTCAATTCAAAAGGAACATATATATATATATATATATATATATATATATATATATATATATATATCTTAAAACAAGTAGCAGCTTTAGTACAAAGACATCTCACTTCTAGACCATTAAATCTTTCTATGAGATGAAGTTCTGGTTCCTCTGTGCTGGCCACCAAGGACAATTTATCTTAGAATGAAGTTCCTACTGCTGCTCTGATCTTTCTTGTAGTCATTGCAGAATAGTGTGGTCATGGGCACAGACCAGAATCCCACAACCACCACTTTCAGGTCTTATCTCCATCTTACTTTACTTTATTTTGTGTTTGTTTGTTTGTATTTTGAGACAGGATCTCTCGCATAGCCCTGAAACTCACAGAGATCCACCTGCATTGGCCTTCCAAATGCTGGGATTAAAGGCATGTGCCACCACCCCTGGCTCTTACTTATAACACAGATCCTGAAAGAAGTTATTTCTGGGTTTATTTCATCCTGTAAATAGGATTAGAATGAAGCTGGTGGTGATGTTAGCCTGAGACTCACATTAAAACACAAGGTGCCTGAAATAAAATGGTTTCAGTTAGGGTTTAGGCACAGAAGCAGGTAATTAGGAGTGAACACAGATTGTTCAAAGTGGTTTCCAAAAAAGGGGACTTAGTTTATACCTGAAGTCCCATATAGTAGTCACATTGAATTGCCATTTCAACCCATTACTCCTTTGCAAGACTTTCCCAGAAATATTCACCAGTGGCAGGCTGTCTTAGATTTGGGGGAAGTAAAATTACTGCCATAACTTTAGTCCCAAGCAAAGCATTTTCATGTGGCTGTGCAGCATCACTGAACCCAATGGTAGAGCATGGGCTCCTAGGTGACAGGAGAGTTCCTGCCTAGCAGCGCTCTGAAGCGCCTACCTTCACTGATCCAAATTTTGCCCTGGCCTGTCACAGGTGTCTTAGATTCCTGGTCCTGTAGACTCAGATCCAGCCATAACCCCATACCTCAGCGTTTTCTCCTTGTCCCTTCAGACACTTACTTTATTTTCTTCTAGTTTGCTATTGATTCTCCGAGTCCCTGTTTTTGTTTCCTGATTCTGGGCCACACCTCCAGGTGTGGCTGCTTTGGCCCTTTGGTTGTGAAGGTCTTCAAATTTTTGGTATGCTTTTCGACTCACACAAACTCTCCTTTCCCTTCTTTGGACCCTTCTTCCTGCTCCAGACTTGTGTGGTCCAGTTGGGTTGGGCAGTTTCTGCTTCAGTCATGGCTCCAGCTTGTCTTCCTGCACTCCAAGAATGGGATAGGGAGGGACAATATAGGGGCTAGTGACCAAGCCCTCCCTCTATTAGCAATAACAAAACAGCTGGTGTTAACCGTTTCTCAGGGGTTGGTCATTTCTGGTCCCTAGATCCATGAAGTCTTCTCAGAGGTCCTATTTTCCCAGCAACTGTATTTTTCCCTGGCAGGAGGAGGTCAAGCCTGGCTTTCTGTGACTGTCAAGAAAGCTGCCCGTCTGCATACCTTGACTCATTCTCAGGCTGAATCTCTGTTAACCTTACCCCCCTTACCTTTATTCCTATTCTGAGTCAGAGTCCATTCTGTACTACTATGTTCTGTGTTACTGTCTACAGATCAAGAGGAACAGATACCTTCTAGAAAGGTACCATCCTATCACTGATTTTTGTCTACTTTTCTCCATTTCTCATCACCTCATCTTGATTCCTGTCCCACACAAAGTAATAAAATAAATTATTATCCTTTTTTTGGAAACTTTTTATTACTTTCCATTGTTGTTGTTTGGTTGGTTTCTCTGTGTGACAGTCCTGGCTGTCCTAGAACTTTCTTTGTAGACCAGGATGGCCTGGAACTCATAGAGATCTAGCTGCTTCTGCCTCCCAACTGCTGGGATCAAAGGTGTGTATCATCATTACCCAGCTTAGTTTTTAGTAACATTTTTGTTTTTTGGTTTTGTTGTTGTTTGTCTTTGGGACAGGGTTTCTCTGTGTAGCTTAGTAAACCAGGCTGGCCTTGAACTCCTATAGACCCACCTGCCTCTGCCTCCTGAGTGCTGGGATTAAAGGCAGTGTGCCACCACTGCCTGGCAACATTTTTGGTCAAATGTTTACCAAATCTTTGACTTGGAAAAAACATGAGGATGGTTCTGTAGTCCCCTGAATTCTCCTCCTGGCTGGGAGTCATTAAAGTGGTAGCATCAAGATGAACTTAGTAGTGCAAACCTGCAATCCCAGCACTGGGAAGGCTGAAGTAGGAAAAGTGTGGGTTCAAATCCAACCTAGGTGACATAGCACAGACCCTGTCTCAAAAAGAGAAAAGGAAATTCATTTAAGAAAACAGGTTGTGGACTTATGTCCTCGAGTGTTCCTTTCAGATCCATTTCTTGTTCTTAGTCCTCATTTGCTGTGGAGATGCCTCAAAGAACCGCACTGCACACACTGCTCAGTGTGCCTGCCGTTTCCACATGTTGTCAGCATGTCTCCTTAGGCTTTGGGTACTGTGTCTCACCAGGTCCCAGGTTGCTCAGTTAGCAAAGGCCATGCATTGGTGTTTTGCGGTCTCTGCCTTATTGGATCCCAGTATTTATGGTGCAAGTTGTATCACACTTCATCCCATAACAATATCTACAAACATCTGATGGGGGACTTGGGCCCAGTGCAGACTGTACAGGAAACACAATACACTTTGTGAGCCATCCAGTCTTTTAGTTCAAAGCAGACATAGCTCATATGGAAACAGATGAGTGTGGCTGCATTCCAGTGAAACTCTATAAATGAATCTTGGAATTGAAATTTCATAGTTTTCATAAAATATTTTGATTTCCTCCCCCAGTAATTTTAAATGTGAAAAATTAAATACAAATAAAAATTTTAAATGGGGACCAGAGGAAAACAAGTGGTAAGCCACATTGGCCTTTGGGCCATAGTATGAATATAAAAATGGCAGGTGATTAATTGTTTGTAATAATTTTGTTCATGCCAAGTTAGTTTGGCATCGTCTCACAGCTTACTCTCTAGAAAATGCATATTGGAAAGAATATGAGACCAGGAAAGCACACCCAGGCTTGACCACATTCTGAGTCACAAAATGAGTTTTATTCTGTTTTTCACTAAAAATGGTATTAAACAAACTACTGTCTACATTATTCCTATGATTTATCTCAAAACTTGTTTGGCAGTGCTGAAAATGATGTCGGGTTGCAGTGAGTGGTAATAAAGTGCACTTTAGTTGTTCCAAACTGCCTCAACCATGAGCAGCATTGAATACATTTATGTCATCACTTACTGAAGGATGTGCTGTAGAGGTTGCAGATTTCACCAAACCATATTTTTTTTCATGCTTATTAAAAAATATTTTTAAAAAGGTATGTACAGATAACCTGTGTGTCCTTTTAGATGAATCTGTTTTTATTTGTCCTAAAGACATTTTTACTATGTTTCCTTCATTGGAAGTGCTTTCCCAGTGCTATGGGAGAATTTCAGGATTGAGCAGACCTTTACAAG